TGTTAGCACATTAATACTTTTATTTAGTAAAAAAAAAAAAAAAAAAAAAAACAGCATATATAATGTGAACAAAGTATTTCAAAGTCCATATCATAGTTTCAACAACAATAACAACAACAACAACAACAACAGATTAAAATCTCTGGGGCTGGGGCTATAGCTCAGCAGTAGAGCACTTGCCCAGTATGTGTGACACACTGGATTCGATCCTCAGCACCACATAAAAGTAAATAAACAAAATAAAGGTGTTATGTCCATCTACAACTTAAAATTTTTCTTAAAAAAGAGAAATCTCTCAGAAACAAGTTTTCTTGTTCCTGTGAAATCTGTGGGAATTATGTTCTCCCAGGTTTAAAAAACAATGTGGATATGTAGTAATCTTGACTTATAACAATTTTATAACTTTTATGTTTTCTGCATCATCCTATGATAGTTAGGATGATTTTTAAATTTCTACACATGAGCTAATAACTTTAAATAAATTTTATGCAAAGATAATGTCCCATTTTCTATACTTATATGACTTAGCTCCATTTGCAATTCTCATATAAATCAAGATATGAGGAAGAGATAGGGTATTGCTAAACTTTGTCAAAGTTTTTCTTCATTACAAATACTTTGTTGTTATTTAAGGCATGTATTTTCGATGACTCTTTCCACATTCACGTCAGGTATCAGGTTTGTTTCTTTTGGTACCAGGGATTGAACCCAGGYGTGCTTAACCACTGAGCCCCATCCCCAGCCCTTTCTTATATTTTATTGAGAGGCAGGGTCTCATTTAGCTCCAAGTGTCTCGCTAACTTGCTGAGGCTGGCTTTGAACTCACGATCCTCCTACCTCAGCCTCCTGAGTCACTGGGATTATAGGCATGTGCCACCGTGCCTGGCTCAGGTATCAAGTTTTTGATATTGAAGAAATTTCAAAATCTGAATAAAGACTTGRGCACATTACTTAAATGTTTAGAGTTTCATGCACTCTGAGTTCTCTAGTTTCTAGTAACATCTGATCAATTATTAACAGCTTTGCCGCATCCTTTACACTGGCACTATATCTCCACAATATGAATTCCCAAGTGCTGAGTCAGGTGGGGACAACTGTCGAAGACAGTCACATGTTTCCACCTTTGTATAGTTTCCCTCTGCTATGGTCCCTCTTGTTTGGGATAAGGGTGGGATCTTCCTCAAGTGCTTTAACACAATGTTCAGATTTGCAGAACTTTTCTCCAGTATGAACTCGCTGGTGTTTGGTAAGGCTGGAAGAATATGGGAAAGCTTTGYCACACTCTTCACATCTGTAGGGCTTCTCTTCTGTGTGAACCATCTGGTGTTGGGAAAGRCTGGAAGAATATGGGAAAGCTTTGCCACACTCTTCACATCTGTAGGGCTTCTCTTCTGTGTGAACCATCTGGTGTTTGGTAAGGCTGGAGGGATACGGAAAAGCTTTGCCACACTCTTCACATCTGCACGGCTTCTCGTCAGTGTGTATCCTGTGGTGTTTGGTAAGGCTTGAGGAATAAGRGAAGGCTTTGCCGCACTCTTCGCATTGGCAGAATTTTTCTCCAGTATGACTCCTCTGGTGTTTGTTAAGGCTGGAAGAATACGGAAACGTCTTGCCGCACTCTTCACATTTGTAGGGCTTCTCTTCGCTGTGAATTCTCTGGTGTTGGGAAAGGCTGGAGGAATATGGGAACGCTTTGCCGCACTCTTCGCATTGGTAGGGCTTCTCTTCCGTATGCATCCGCTGGTGTTTGGTAAGGCTGGAAGAATACGGAAAGGCTTTGCCGCATTCTTCACATTTGTAGGGCTGCTCTACACTGTGAATGATCTGATGTTGGGTCAGCGTGGATCTCTGATTAAAAGCTTTGCCGCATTTTTCACACATGTAGGGCTTTTCTCCAGTATGAATCCTCTGGTGTTGAGTTAGTGAGGATCTTTGATTAAAAGCTTTACCACATTCTTTACATTTGTAGGGCTTCTCTCCAGTATGGATTATCTGGTGTTTGGTAAGGGATGAAAGATCCTTAAAGGTTTTGCTACACTCTGTACACTTGTAGGGCTTCTCTCCAGTATGGATTCTCTCATGTCGAATAAGGTTTGATCCCCGATTAAAAGCTTTGCCGCATTCTTTACACTTGTAGGGCTTCTCTCCYGTATGAACCCTCTCATGTCGAGTAATGTAGGATCTCTGACTAAAAGCTTTGCCACATTGCTGACACGTGTAGGGCTTCTCTCCGGTGTGACTTCTCTGGTGTTGAGCAAGGTGTGATCTTTGTTTGAAAGCCTTGCCACATTCCTTACATGTGTAGGGCTTCTCTCCAGTATGAACCCTCTGGTGTTGAGTAAGGTAGGACCTTCGGATAAAAGCTTTGCCACATTCTTCACATTTGTAGGGCTTTCCTCTAGTATGAACACTCGGATGTGGACTGAGTTTGGGGAGTTTACTGAAAAGGTTGCCATGTGCTTTACATTTGTAAGGCTTCTCTCTCACGAGATTCCTTTGGTTTTGAGAAAGGGTCGAAGCATTATCGAAGGCTTTGGCACAGTTACATTCGGAGGCTCTCTCTCCGGTATGAATTCCCTGGTGTTGTGTAAAATGTGATCTTTGAGTAAAAGGTCTGCCATACTCTTTGCATCTGAAGGTCTTGTTACTGCCGTGCCATCTCAGGTGCTTAGAAAGGACAGAGCAAGTGCTAAGAGATTTGCCACTTTCTTTCCATTTGGGGGGCTTTTCCATACCATGAATTCTCTGATGCGTGACGGGGGGTGATTCTGGGTTAAAGGTTTTGCCACCTTCTCGGTAGTCGTAGTTGTCACTTGTAAAGTATCTGAGGTGTGTGGACAGGGTGGAGCAATCCCATGGTTTGCTACACTCTTTGAATCTGCAGGGCTCTCTTCCAATGGGAATTCTCTCAYATTGACTAAGACTGGCCGGATGAGTGAACACTCTTCCACCTTCCTCATGTTTGTAAGGCCTTTGTTCACTATGAATTCTTGGATGGGTCATAAGCCCAGAGGATTGGTGAAAGAGTTTCTCACATTTGCCATTGTGGTACAGGCTCTTTGCAAAATGGGTACATTGAGGATTTCTGGGATTGCAACCAATGCTCATGTTTTTAAGAATTTCACTACTTTCATATTTTTTCTCACCAATATAAACATACTGGTAATTACTTAGGTTAGACACCTGGGCAAGGGTGTGACTGGTTTCATTGCCTATGTAGCAGACATTCCAGAAATCAACATCCGAATTTTGATTAACGAAGAATGGGTAAGGGTGGATATCCCCACAATTGTTATAATTGTAAGTTTGGGCACAAGAAGAAATTATTGTTTGATTGCAGAATAATGGACATTTTGTAAAGGAATGATCAAAGTGCTCTCTYTTAGAAATCTGTCCTTCACTTTTATATTTCTTTGCTAGAGAAATCATTGACTGAAAGTTTAAATCAACACTATATTTGAAATTGGCCAAGTTATAAACTGAAGCATAGACAAGATCTCTTCTTAAATTTTCCAAATTTCCTTTCAGAGGAACTGTATGCTTCAAAAATTGGGTTGGCAGTACACTGGAAACATACAACTCCTCAAAAGCAACGGGCATGAGCTGAATTCTTTTCTGAGATATCAAATGTTCTTGATGTCCGTTGACAGTGAAATTTTTATTATGGACAGTCGCTACTAATTGGCTTTGACCATTATAATATGATTTCAGACCGTCACTCTCACCCCCATTTTCCCATAATTTTCTTGGTTGTAAATAGTCAAGGTCACAATTTCCGTATCTTCTCTTTATCACTTTTTTAAATAAATCTTTTATGCCGTGCTCTGGTGAAAACTGATGGATATGTTGAGAGGTCATGGCTGAAATAAATGAGAAGAAGAATTATTTTACTGATGAGACAGGAATTAATGTATTTTGCAAACATCGTACGTAATTAAAGCAAAGTTAGTACATCAGCAGGGTAGCAGAATAATAAACCTAAGGTCTTCATTTCTCCAGACATATAAAAACTAAATAAAAATGTACAGAAAAAATGACTTTGGGAGAACTATCACAAACGTCTGAGAGTTGACAGTATCGAGAATGAGTATGTTACTAAGGAGAGTAATACAGGATAGGGAAGCAACCTGTGCTGGTTTTCTCAACTTCTGCCTTTTCCCCTCCACAATACAGCATTGTGCACTCTACCCAACTCCCTTCTCTGTCAGTAGACAATGGGAAATGGGAAATACAGGTGAACATTTTGATTTTCTTGGGGACTGTCTAAAAACTAGTTYCTCTCTACCATGACACAGAGACCTGGAGGTCAGAGATAGATTTTGGATTATAACACCACAGATATTTAACAGGGATATAGTCTATGGGCTCTTAAGAAGAGATATAAACCAATCTTAAATAAAYAAAACAAAGATTTTTTTTTTAATCTTTATATGGTGCTGRGGATCAAACCCAGTGCCACATGTGTGCGAGGGCAAGTGCTCTACCACTGAGTCACAGCYCCAGACCCTAAACAAATTTTTTTAATGGGAAAAATACACAAGATACACACGTGATAACACTGTCAGTGTTATCTAAATGAAGACAACTCCCAGAGATCAAGACAAATGACTTGCTTTTACTATTTTTTAAAATTTTTGTCAYTTACTGATTTACTTCATTTACAAATTAAATTTTATGCATTTACTGAGTATATCATGGCATTTCAAAGTACATATACATAGTAAATAACTGAATCTAGTGAAATAACACTTGCATTATTCCATATAATTAACGTTTTAGTGCTAAAAAATTGCATTTATTCTATTAGCATTTATCCAGAATACAATACATTACGCTCACCATATGATACTCTTGACTTTCTTATGTCCATTAAAATAAAATTTTGCAGACTTCAACCAACAGTCCCCGTACATTCCACAAAATATCGTACCTGGTAGCCACCATTTTACTCTCTGCATTTCTGAGTTCCCACTGAGAGTCAGATGCTGCTGCCACTGATTTTCTGTGTTTGCCTTATTTCATTTTATGCAAAGTCCTGCATATTCATCCCATATCACCTTACATAACAGGACATCTCTTTTTATAAGTAAGAAGAGAAATTAATTGTGTAGTGATTCCATATTTTAAATAAGGCTAAATAGTAACCGATTGTATATCAATGCCAAATTTGTACTTATCAACCATTGATAGGGACATAGTTTGAGTCTGTGCCTAGACTACTGTGAAAAATGCTTGCATTGAACACAGTCGTGGAAACATCTCTTCAACATCCTAATCTAATCTCTTTTGGATACATATTCTGGATCACATCTTTCTACTATTGGTTTTTTTATGTGGTGCTTGGGATTAAGCCCAATGGTGCTGTACCAGAGCTTCAACACCAGCCTTCTGAAAATTGGTCAATTTGAGATGTGGTGCCACTAAGTTGCTGTGATGCCTCAAACCTGAAATCCACGTGCACATCAGCTGTGTTTACAAGCAAGTGTGTTTACACTGTGTTTGGCCTCTTTTTGATTTATTTAGTAACTTCCTTACTGTTTCCCAAATGACTATATCAATCTTCTGTTGGCTGGTTTTCTACCCACCAATCAATTAAAAAACAGCACAGCACATAAAGACAAAAAATTAAACATTAGAAATTGAATAGTAGCAAAGTTATGCATGACCCAAAGACCAAAGAGCACTAAATAACCTTTTTCAAGAATTTTGGTAAAAAAAAAAAAAAAAAAAAAAATCAAAATGCAGAAAACTGAATTAAAATCAAACAAAATTTTTTAAAAGGAAAAAAAAAGCTGATATTGTGCACATGAAGAATTCTTTATGAAACAGCGTGTGAGGTTGTCAGGAGAGGTGGTTCACAGCGTAACCCCAGCGCCATGGGAGGCTGCACCCAAGGAATCACAAGTAAATGAGCCAATAGGGAGTTTGGTGGCTAGGAACTAAGGCATGTTTTTTCAAATCAATAAAGGTAAGGTATTTTGCAAAAATCTATATAAAGATAAATCTTAAGTACACTTTGTTAACTGAAATAAGTCACTAACAAGAAGATAMATACTGCAAAATTCTACTTATGAGATCTAAACTTGGGAGATTAACTGAGCAGGAAGGAGATTGCTGTTTGTGATGGGGAGAGACAGACACGGAGCTTGTTTTCATAATTGAATGTTTGCTTTGTGAGATAAAAACTTTCTAGGGATTTTGCATAACAACTTGAATTAATATTACTGAACAGTATACTCAAAATATTTAAGATACTATTGTTTTATATTGTGTAATTTTGATCAGCATTAAAATTTAAACAATATGTAAAAAATAAACAAAATTGCAATATTTTTGAAAGCTACCTTTAAAATGTTATGGTCTTGGGCTGGGGTTGTGGCTCAGAGGAAAAGCGYTCGCCTAGCATGCGTGAGGCACTGAGTTCGATCCCTAGCACCACATAAAAATTAACTAAAGGTATTGTGTCCACCTACAACTAAAAACATAAATAAATAAATGCTTAAAAAAATAAAATGCTATGGTCTTTGTCCTAAACTTAATAACAGTTGTGTCCACATATAGATGACGGGCATGACTGTAATCCCAGCTACAGGAATTCTGAGGCAGGAGAAYTGCAAATTCAAGGTCTTCCTCAGCAACTTAGTGAGAACATCTCTCCAAATAAAAATTAAAAGAAATTAGGGATGTAGCTACATAGATTGAATTATAAATAAATAAATAAACAAATAAAATAAAAACAAAATAGGCAACCCACCCCCTCCCAAAAAAAAGCCAAGTGTAATGTTTATACAAATACAAACATGTATAATTTTATATTCAAGGATAATGCATATCTTAAGTTCAACTTGCACTGCCCTAATTTGTCAAAGAATGGAAACTGCCACCTAATTATAAAATGCAGGTGAAAGACAAAAATGTTATTAACGGATGTGAGAAAACGTCCTCTATAAAACACAAGAAACAAAAAAGGAAAAATGAAATTAACCACAAAAAATTCTGAATAACCACAGATGCATGATTTTACACACCCTTTTACGTAACCACAATTTCCACCCGTGACTGAGTATCCTCAAAGATCAGCCATTATCAATCACTGATATTCATCTCATGGCAGAACAAATTCACAGAAAATCCATCCTAAGAATTCACAAAGAACTCTGGTAAGGAAATTTTAATGAATAAACACAGAGATGATATGACAGAAACAGCTTTGGGATATTAATATACTACAACGACTTAGCTAGACGTCTTCAGAAATGTGCACATTCCCTAGAGACCCCCAGGTAATGGAAAAGCTGTCATATGCTGACCGCCACAACCAAAGAGAAGTGTTTTGGCTGCTAACTTGAAAGTAGGAGGACACCACTGAAGGGACAGATTTTAAGAATTTGAAAGCATGATAAACATACAGCTGTATGTGTCCTATGATAGCAAGAAAAATCAACCTAAGCTTCTGAAAAATCATTTCTGTTGCATGCTTACTTCTCAACCAACAGTTTCAAATCTGACTTCCTCCTTAACCTTTGCAACCCCCAACTGAGTCCTCTGTCTCCTCCATTTCCAACCACGTGGGTATATATGGCTACTCCTTCTTGTCTCCGCAAATCCAGGGCTCCTTCCTTTGCTCCTGAGAAAGGTGTTCCATTTTGGCTTAGAGACACATTAAGATTTAGTGATTGAAAAATAAAATAATGACTATCTGTTGGAATTCTTCTTATACCTACTGATGTTTATATTCTAGAACTGTGCAGATACACACACACACACACACACACACACAYAGGTTGAGAGCCACAGCCGAAGGGGCCCCAGCAAACTTCCAGCTGCCAGCTGATTGGCTCCTCTGCGGTGATGCYCATTGRGCTGTTTCCCCGCCCTTTCAGACCATGGAGCTGCTCATTGGGGGACCTTTTTTTGGCTGCGCCCACGCGACCCAGCCAATCGGCCTCAAGAGCAGGAGGAGTGGGGGGAAGGGGGTTGAGAGGCCTGTGGGAAGCCGATAGTGGCAGTTGGGCTCTGAGGGAATTCCTGAAGAGCTCCTGTGCAGCGTGTGTTCTAAAAATAAAGTTCATTTCTGCTTGATAAGTGGCTTGTGAATTGTGCCCAGCCAGACTGCGGCACACATATATACATATGTATATATCATACATCTGGAAAATAATTTTCTAGCATTTCTACTTACCATATGTAATATCTGGAAAATATTTTTCTAGCATTTCTACTTACCATATGTGTGTGTGTATGTATATGTGTGTGTGTATATATATATATTTGTTGTTGTTGTTGTTGTTGTTGTTTATAAGTCATAAACATAATTTATATATAACTATAGCATGTATTATTTATAATATCTATACGATATGTAACATTTAATTGTAACATTATATATGACTTATATATATGATTTATATATAGTAAATTATACATATATATATATATCATTTATCATATATGTAATAGAAATTCTAAAAAATATATTTTTGCAAACAGACCCATTAAAATTTTTAGGAAGAAATTTTAACGTACAGATCCTGAGATCTATTTCCAAGTTTCAGAGTAAAGGAATCAAATCAAAGTAAAGGGAAGAAATTGGACTGTGACTTGTAGACCATGACACCTTGTGTCACTGTTACTATATATATACCAGTAATCTAAAATGAAGGACCTAGATCATCTGAAGAAAGGGAGAGAGGAAAGATTAGTGGAGATGTCACTGACATTACAAACCACAAGCTGTCCAAAAGTCTTTCTTGAAAGCGAGAATCTTAAACTCATTCATACARAGCAAAAGCTCCTCCACAACTCTTCTGCAAAGGAAGGAAATTAGATACTGATAACTAGAAATCCTGAAGCCTCACCTAGGAAGACCAGGTTGTGGTAGTTCTCGGACATCACATCTTGGTATAAGGTCCGCTGAGCAGGCTGCAGACACTCCCACTCCTCTTCAGAGAAGTCAATGGCCACATCCCTGAACGTCAAATGTTCCTGAAATAAGAACAGGGCAAATAAACAGCACGCTGACCACGTGATCGTTGACACAGCTTATAGTGGGAGGGAAGCAGAAAGGACAGTAGAAGGGGCTCTCATATAGATGGGTGACTTCATTATTCAGTGAGTCGCTTTAATAACACAGTCTATTATCCAACCGAAAGAGAGCGACATATTTCCAAAAGGGGTGGCATCTGCTGCACTTGATAAAATGTGAAATTAAGGCATCCACCCAAGAGCATACATCTTCATTCATCTTGTGTTTTATAAGAGACATTTGTATGTTTATCAGATGAAAAAGGAATGGTAAGAAGGATGCTTCTCGAATTTTAATTCTGCAACCACAAACTGAGAGATATTACTAAAACATAGACTCGGTAGTTCTGGGATGGCACCTGATTTTCTAAACATGTGGCAATCTCTCTAGGAACTCGAGGACAGTGGTACAAGAGAAACGAATGGACACGGACRGAAAAACTTATTGATGAATTTGAGTTCAGCTATTTCAAGGGAATTTTTATTTCCATTGAAGTAGCAAGTAGCAACATTTAAGTCATCTAATGTAAGGCCACCTTCCACCTCCTCCCCCCCCCGAATCTGGTTGCTTTGTGCATATTTTCTTAGGTTTGAAATCCTACTAAGAAAATACATTTAATGTTTTGGGACAGGCTATATGGGCAAGGACCCAACAGACTTGTGAGAAATGCTTCTCCCATAGGGACACCCGCATCTGTGCCTATCAGGAGTTGCTGAGCACAGCACGTTTGGCAACACAAGATGAAGATGATTCTTAAAGAGTGTAAAATTGTTCTCTTTGGTTCCCATGTTTCTTAGGCAATGTACCTTGTCAGAGACTGTCTAGATGTTGTTAGTAACCATTCTCTAACTTGTGCTCAACRAGGGTCATTGCTGGCTTGTTGCTATGCCAACCTGGAAAGTCCTGTGGGAAATACCAATGTACCCGTTGCATTGTCTCGCTGACYGCCCAATCGGCTTCTGTACCCCTCAACCTGGWTGTGGCTTTTGCCWTTAAAGTCCCTGAGAGGCTCAGGAACACCTTGCAGAGACAGTTATGGGTCCTGCGGAGAGCAGTGGCCGGTTGGCGAGCTAAAGACTCTCCAATTGGGACAAAATGGACTTGGTATGTTTTCTGRGCCGTCTGCCCCATGACATTAGCACTTAGGTAAACAAGTGTTCTCAAGGTGACAAACCTATGGAACAGCAGTGTGACCTGTGTAACAGACACACAAATCCCAAGGGGAAAGTCAAGATATCTCGGCACCGTGGACATTCTCCCACCCTCACAGCTGTGGGTTTTCCTTGAAGGAAATCCAGGGACAAGAATGATTCTGCATTTCCCTCTCAACACCAGTACCCAATTTGTGAGTCACCAAGTATCTGTGTCTCTGTGAGATGGAGACCATGGGGGACATATTTGTTGACAGCCACAGCCAAGTCGGGATGGTGCCTGGCATTTTGCCAGAAAGAATGGTTGAGAAGTGACGCCAGCGAGCCATTGGGATGATGGTGATTAAGTTAAGCTGTGTATAATTACTGGGATGGTGACTGATTGCTGTAACTGGATGAGCTGGATTGGGCCAAGCTGTGTATTCAGTTRTGTATATAAACCTCTGCTGTCCAGCAATAAGGCGGCTCCTGCTACCTCGGGTGCCCGCTACTTTTGAGTTCCCGTTGGTTCTCGCGGAGTTTCTGGAGAGTTCTAGAGAGTTCCCATGGGGTTTGGGCAATAAAGTCGTTCCTGTTTGAACCTACAAGTGGCTCGTGACCTCCCGGTTATTTTGTGCCCAGCCAGACTGCGGCACATATTCATGTCCCAAGAGGTTACCTGTGTAGACCAAATGGATAATGGGAGATTTGGCTAAGCCTCCAAATAACCAACTTTTCCCAAATTCCCGCTCTCATCATTTATCTATCCTCCGGGAAGAGGGAGTAGGGGGCTGATGGTCTACGGACAATTCAGTCCCCTGAAGATGTCAGAAGGCAGACATTTGCTCAATGAAGTTCAAAAACAGCCCCCGAGGTGACCTGGGTGAAATGATTTTCCCATTTAAAGGGCATCTCAAGAAAGTTGATGGCACCCTCCAAAACAAGTACCAAGGTAAAAGAGATGGGAACTCGCCATGCTCTACTCCCAGCACGGCACCCCAGATGCTTCAACAGACTGCTTGGTGTTTGCTGTTGGCTTGTCTTTTTTTTTTTTTAAATATATTTTTTGGTTGTTGATGGACCTTTATTTTATTTATTTATTTACATGCATCGCTGAGAACCAAACCCAGTGCCTCCCACATGCAAAGCAAGAAGTGCTCTACCATGGAACCCTGACCCCCAGCCCTTTGCTTCTATTTTTGGGGACAACAGAATCCACAGATTCGTTGCATGATTCATTTTGGTGACAAGAAGCATGGTTGACAGAAGCTTGTGTTGCAACAAAGAACTCCAGTTTCTTCTATGGGAATATCTCAACTTCATTCCCTGGCGTCAGTACTTTTCAGATCTCCAGAGGATGGGATGGAGCCCGAGGGCTCTTCTGCCATGGGATGATCTGCATCTCATGGCTTCTGAGGGTCCCTGCTCTCGCCCAGAGGCAGCTGCTCCCACCAAGAATCACCTTCGTCCCAATGCCAGCTCAGACCTTGTATGGATTCCCTTTCTCAGGGTTAGTGGCAGGAAGGGTCTGGGCATTCTGGGTCATCCACCACCACCACCACCACTCACCCCACCAGAGARCAGTTCTTATTTGATGTTGATTGGAGACATTTTCGTTTGGCCTCAAAGATTTGGTGGCATGGTCAACAGTAAGCCTGACATGGTACGTGTTGTACGCTTTGAAAAAAAAAAAATTAAAACTGTAGTCGTAAAAATCTGCTTGGGAAAGATTRGCTGGATAATTAGTTGTTGGGTTTGGGTGGGAGGGGGAGGAGAGTTTTAGGGTTTGTTTGGGATGAACAGAGATCTTTTTGAACACTAAACTTCGGAACTGAGTCCTGTTTGGGAAACATGATGTCCCACAGGAAGTACCAAGTCCACAGGTTCATACGCCAGTTTTTTAAAAGTGAGTTTCAGAAAACACAGTTGTGTCCGTCTGGGGTTGACCTTTAGCATTCTATGTGAACTCACTATTGCAGCCTAGATTTGATTAGGAAAGAAACCACATCATATAAAGTTAAAAATTTAAGTACTTGGGCAAACTGGAATTAGATGGCACCAAGATTTTACAAAAGGCACTAGAAAAACAAATTCAGGGAGTAGCCTGTTGGATTCGTAGTCCACAAGGAAACTGGTGAGAATAAATTCCGCCGTCTGGCTGGGCACAAAATAACCAAGCCGCCACAAAGCCTTGTAGGTTCAAACAGCAACTCTTTATTCCAGAACTCTCCCTGGCACTCTACACACACTTCCCGGGGATCCGCCCTAATCCTGGAGCCGCCCTATTCCCAGGAGGATCCACCCTAATCCCTGAGCCGCCCTATTCCTGGAGCAGGGTCACCTTTCAACCATTCCCTCTAGCAAAATGCCAGGCGTCATTCTGACTAAACTGTGGCTCTCAACAAACAAATACATGCCCAACTTGGGGAGTCCTCTCACTGTGAAGCCAGAGTTCCCCRTGGTTAATTCCTAAACAGTCAGAAGAAAGTTCTGAGCAGCTCAGGGAAAAAAAAAAAAAAAAATCTGTGAGGTCCCCATTCCCCAGATTCCTTTTACC